CACCATGTAAGAACTTGTTCGTTATGCTTCAGAAGATTGGAGACTGACAAGAACTAGGCTTGAGATGGATTAATGATTGTGCATTGAGCATTGACCCCCCTATACAGAATTTTATTGTTGTTAACAACCATTTGATCAATAAATATGAGAGATGCCCTCTCAAAAAAAATAAATAAATAAAAAATAAATCAGTGCATGTATATGATATGGTAAATGATGGTAAGTGCATGGAGAATAATAAATCAGGGGAACTGACAGTGTTATATTTTTATTATAAAATTATAATTAATATGCTTACAAAAAACAAAACTAAACTAAACTAAAACCCCTCCATGTAAACTAAAGTCTATACAGATTTCTGCGGTGATGTTTTCCACACTAGTTATAGTTGCGCTATTCATAATCCAAGTTTTCAGATAGGCCAGTTAGGCAGCTTCTGTGCCACGCCTGACATACAGGGCAGGGGGATTTGGTGAGGCTGGAGTCCCTGGGTAGGATCCAGCATCCCAGATGCATCTTATGTCCATTAGCCTTGAGTTCCTACTCCTTTTTCTGGGCTGTTGGGGAGCAGGCTATAGTAAAGTTCCATCTGTTCAAGAGAGACCTCTTTTGCTTTCCCCTCCACTGGGAGGACAGATTTCTTCTCAGCGTGAGGAAAATCCCTCACTCCCCAAACTCTGTTTATTCACAGTGGATTTGGAGTTTTGGGGAAACCTGGAAAGGCCTGTCATAATCTTTTTCTGAGGCAAGGAAGTACAGAGTTGGCTTGAATGAGAAAAGTAGAGTGGAACACACAGACAGATGTACAGATGAAACATAAATTAATACCCTTGTATCTTAAGTAGGGTTCCTAGAAGCAGAGCCAGAAATGAGGATTCTTGGGAAAGTGGTTTTTGAGGGAGTGTTCTCAGAAGAAATCTGTATGGAGGTGAGGGGAGCAGCATAGGACAAGGGAAAAAACTACACATAGATTTAGTTCAGCAGAAGCGTAGCCTCAGCCTGAACCCAGGGCAGTTCTGGTAGATGAAGGGCATCACAGAATTGATCCACCTGGAGACAAAGGAGCCATGCTCTTATGTCCACTGACTGCAAACCAGGGTGTGTGGGTGAGATGGCATGAGGGGAGGGGGGTTTTAGCTCCCAGGTGTCCTCTGACAAGGGTGCAACTATGAATCTCTAGCAGCCAACATTCAGAGCAGCTAAGGATGGATGTACTAGCCCAATAAATGGAATCTGGACAGGGAATCATTAGTGTCTACTACCTCTACTATAGCTGGTCTGCATTTTTGCAATGAAAACGTGCTCCCTATCCATGTGTTTCTCCCACCAGGAAATCTTGACTTCAGCTTTAGTAGCTGTGGTTGAATCTATCAGTAAATTCCCAGCTTCTCCATAAACAAAACAAAGAGAAGAGAGTGCTCATGCTTCTCTAATCTAATGGTGTCTCAGAAACTCTCTCTATCAGAGAGTAATTTTCTCTCTCTAATCTAAGAATGAAATCTCTTTCAACGTACAAATTTTGGAGGGGGACTGCATGGCACACAGTTTAGTGCCTCATGAAAATGTGGTTTGCCTGTAATGAGATTAGAGGCTAGTACAAAGATTGAGAGAAGTTTAGATACAGCATGTGTGGCTCAGGCCCATTTAGAACAGGTTTCGGCAGCTGTTAAACTGACTACCATAAAACTGTCTTCTGAATTTCTTGAAACTAGTGGAGAAGTTGCTAAAGGAAGGGCAGGCATTATTCACTTAGACAATCAAAGATGACCCAAGCAGAGATGGGAGGGTGTCAAGGCAAAGGGACCTTGCTACTCTGACAAATAGGCTTTTCCTTAATCTAACATCCCTGTGGTGGCCCTGGGCTCTTGGGGACAGAAGGTGCATTGGAGGGCTTTAAACTTTGAACCCTTATCTTGCTAAAATGGAAGAAAAATCAGCCTCATTTATTTCTGTGGCTTCCTTAATCCTCTAATGTTGTCAAAATCAGGGGGCCAGAGTATCAGAAAGGCAGGCCCATTCATATGGCCTGCTGAGACATATGCTCTTCCAGATTTCAGGCTTGAAGGCTTTGATGCTTCTGCTTTGTGCTAGGGTAGTAGAAATCTTTGTCAAAGCTGGAGTTGCTGAGCATCTCATGGCTGCCCTATCTGAGGCTTGCCACATCTTTGAGCTGCTGTTGGAGTAGGGCACAGGTATCTCCTTTTTTCACGAGCCCCTCATTTCTTCATCCTCATTAACGTTTTCCAGAACAGAGGAACTTTTGTTTTGACTGGGAAGAAATTCCTGTGTCTTTAAACCACAGCTATCTTGCTCAACTTGACGGATGAGATCAGGAGAGGGTAAGTTAACCAAGACCTTACATATAGTGCTGGCTCATTGGATAAATCCTTTCTCACTTTGAAAATGTATATCCAGTTAAAATAATTAAATACTGAGAAGCGTACTATAATTTGGTCTACTCCCGTCACCTCTCCCCAACCAGTTTCATTTATAATTATAACTTATAATTTAGGGAGATAATTAAATATTACAGCACATCATAGGATATTATGTAAGAGTCTTTTAAAAATGTATACCTAACAAGGATTCCCAAGTTCCATCTAATGGTCCATTTTTATTCAATGCAAGCATTTCTCTCACAACCATATTTTCATAATTCAAATTTGATGTAAGGTGATTGATCAATTAGGAACCTTAATTTGCATTGTGTGAGGAGTGGTTGGTATTAATGCCATCAAAACTGGGAGCTATCATCACCTGTATTTTTGTTTTTAAAAAGCTTAAGAACCCACCAACTTGGCTGGGATGCCTTTAAGCTTTGTTTATTCTGACAGTGGGTGATAAATGTGATAAAAATTGAGAAAAATATATAAAGAAACATTGTGCTTAAGATAGAGTTTTTAGTGATAAGGAAAAGAAAAGCCATTATTCCTAAGTGAATGCTCCATGTAATCAAACCCTGAATTTTTTCACTGAAGTCTATGTTTTATAGCTGTATACTTACAGCTCTACCTTTATTATTGAAATTCCTGCAGCAAATATAACATTGCCATCAGAGTCTCAACTTTTCTAGACCTCAGTTCCATTATCCCCATCGAAACAAATGTTTTTAGAAGGAAATTTTGAAAATTATGGGTTTCTTTGAAATGCAAAGAATTCTCTCTTGCATTAGGAGAGCAGGGTGCACTTGTGAGTCATGTGAACCATTAGGTAACCATGACAATCTTGACTATGATGTGGGGAAGTACCTTTATCTTAACTGGATCTAGGTCCCCCTGCTACCCCCACCCACCGCCGGTATCTGAATCCAGAAAAATGTGTCTTATTTCAAAGGATGAATCTATAACACATTTACTGGTTGACCATATAGTCAAAATCTCATTAATATGGATTCTGGGACTCCAAACCAATTTGCTGGATTGTAAGAACTTTTCATCTCTTATGATGTAGTGGATCTGACAGTATCTTAGGAAAGGGAACTCTTACTTTGGGCTATCAGAGCCCATAACCAGAACTGCCCCATTAGGCTCAAAGTAGCCCCATGGCTTCCTTCTCATCCACAAAATACAAAGTTTACTATAGACCATGAAGGCAGTGTGCTTCTCAGGCACTTCTTCCTTCTGATGTCTGGCATAAAAGGCCTAGGATAGTAGGCTCCAGACTGTCCTCGAGCAAGAATGATGAAAATAGAAATGGTAATAATTATAAAAATAGAAATAATAATAATAACAATGAATGTCATGAAAGATTTCTATGTATTATCTATTTGTTTTTACAAAATGTCATTAGAGATAGGTATTACTTTAGAGATAAGGAAATAGAGATTCACAAAAGTTAAGCAACTTTGCTAATGTTCACAGAGCTAGAAATTAGTGGAGCTGGCATCTGAACTATCTTCAAAACATGTGTCCTCTATCAGTAAATTATGCTGCATCTTAATATACA